TATAGGGAAATAGGAAACATTAGGGAGAGAGTGTGAACATTTTAGATTGGGTGGTCGAGGCAGGGCTCCCTGAGAAGGTAACATTTGAACGGGTGATAGAGCCACGGGGGAAGAGCTTACAAGGGCAGCAGAAACAGCAAGTGCAAAGGCCCTGAGGTGGGATTGTGCCTGGTATGTCGGAGGGGCCACAAGGGGCCATTGTGGTGGGAGGGATGTGAGCAAGGGGGAGAGGAGTACAGGGAAGGTTGGGGTCAGGATGGGGGCCGACCCTGTAGGGCACTGAAGGCAGTGGTGAGGTGGGAGCCATGGAATGTTCTGGGTCAAGAAGGGACGTGATCTGACTCAGGCTGTAACACAGCATCTTGGCTGTTTTGCAGTTTCTTTTTTTTTTTTCTCCAGTTTTACTGACACATAATTGACATATGTCACTGTATAAGTGTAAGGTGTACAACATAATGGTTTGACTTACGTGTTTTGTGAAATGATTACCACAAAATAGGTTTAGTTAGCATCTCATATGAATACAACAAAAGCAAAAGGAGGAAAAAAAGGTGTTTTTCCTTGTGATAAGAACTCTTAGGATCTACTCTCTTAATGACTTCCATATATAACACACAGCAGTGTTAATTATACTTATCATGTTGTACATTACACGCCTAGTACTTATTTATCTTATACCTGGAAGTTTGCACCTTTCGACCACCTTCCTCTAATTCCACCCCCTCACCTTCCTTTGGTAAATCTGATCTCTTTTTCTATAATTTTGTTTTTGTCTCTGGTTTAGATTCCACATATAAGTGAGAGCACACAGTGCTCGTCTTTCTCTGCTCAGCTTCTTACTAGCCTGTGCCGAAGCTTCCTTGTGTGCTGAAGCTGTGGATGTGTCTTTGTTTCCAAGCTTCTTCTGACTTTTCGGTGTGATTTTCACCAAAGAGATGGGGGACACTGGCCTGAGAGTGTGTGAGGAGCATACTCCTGTGTGACAGGCGACAAGGCAGTGAACTTGAACCCTCCCGACCTCTGTCTCTTCTATAGGAATGGGTGAACTCCGTCTGTTCCGCGGATTCTGGCCACGGCCTCCATAAACGTTCAGGCAGTGCAGACAGCATCATTATCATCATCACCCTCAACGCTAGCGTTCTCCAAACCCACCGGCCAAGCCCCAGTTTGGCCCCTCGTGGTAGCAGGAGCTGCATCCCTGGCACTGCTGTGTGCACGGGGACGGCCCCGGGATGCAGGATCCAGTGCCTGGCATGTACTTAGGAGCCCAGACCCACAGCATTCCCGAGAGCCTGGACAGGTCCTGGCTATCAGTTCCGGTTCTAGCACTGTCCTGGGGAGGAACGGAAACACTTTCTGCCTCCCAAGCCAGGAAGGGAAAGGATGCAAGCTCCGTAGAAGGCGCTCTCTGCCCACCATCCTGGTTGCCCGGAAGATGCCTTCTCGGGTCAGACGGACGGGCCTGCTCACCCCTCCTCCCTCCTTACCAGCTGTGTGCCGGGAGGACCACGGCCTCAGAGTCCTTCTCTTCATCTGTAAAACGCTGGCTGAGGCTCCGACAGGTGTGGTTAAAGGCGCGCTGGGTGCGCGGCACCCTCAGCTCACGTGTCTCCTGGGCCGCTCACTCTGCGCCTCGTGCTTCCTGTCCCAGAGGGGCTGCTGCGGACTCCAGCGAGCGCGCTCTCCCGAGGGAGCGGGAGGCTCACCTGGCCGGACACCCGCCCGCATCCCTACAGCGGCGTCCCCGACAAGTCCTGGCTTTACCTGTTGGCCCGCCCGGGGTTGCAGGTGGGAGCCGGGGAGAGCGGGTCAGGCCGGGCCTGCCCCGCGGCGCCCACCCCGCGTGGGCCCTTCTCGGAGCCCCACGTTCTCACCTGGGCTAAAGCCTCGGGAACGGACACCGCGGCCGCCGCGAGTCCACTGCGAAGGGAGGGGGCCGGAGGGGGCGGGGCCGGGGCGCGTGACGCGCGGCGCGGGCCAATGGGGCGCGTGCCCGGGGCCGAGCCTCCTGCGAGCCTTCGCGGCGCCCGCCGCGTCACGTGAGCCCGGGAGTGAGCGCCGAGCGGGCGGCGGCGGCGGGGGCTCCGCCGCAGCGACGCGGGCCGGGGCGACCAAGAGCGAGTGCAGGACGCGCGGCCGCCGCCCCCAGCGCAGCCCGCAGGGCCCCGGGACCGCCGGACCGGGCCGCCGGCCGGCCGTGCGCCGAGTTCAGGTGGGAGCGGCGCGGCGAGGACGGACGCGAGTGGACCGGGCCTGGCGCGCAGGGGGCTGGCGGGGCGCAGGGGAGCTCGCGGGGCGCGGGCGGGCCTCTGCACGCCAGGCCGGGCGCCCGCACGGCTGTCCCAGGCTCCGCGTGAGCGTCGGAGGAAATGTCGGAGGAGCGGGGTAGCCCCGCGCGGGGCCGGGGGCGGACAGGCTGGTGGGTCAGCGACCCCACGTGCCCACCGGCGCTTTCCCCGCGCGGGCTGGTCCTCTGCCTAGGCGCCTGGCCCCGCGTGTCCGTGCGCGTCTCGCGGGCCGGCCTCCCATATGGCGGGCGCGACGGGGCCTGCGGGCGGGCGGGCGCGCGGCGGGGAGGGGCGGAGGGGTTACTGTCGGTCACCGCAGCCGGCCCGCGGGAGGGGGCGCGGGCCGAGGGCTCGGTGCCCCGCCGGCGGCGCCCCAGGCTCCCCCTGCCCCCCTTTCCCACACACGTTCCCACACACGCGGGGACACCACGCGGCTCCACGCGCGAGCGTGTCGCGGACGCCCCTCCCGGCTCTCACCACGGCCCGCACACGCAGTCACACGGCAGGAAGTCGCACCCCCGCGCGGTTAGCGGAGCGGGGAAGCCACCCCGCTCGCCGCAGCGGTCCGCTCGCTCTCCCTCCCCTCGGTCGGCCCCCTGTGGACCTCCCCCCACCCCCGCTGTTTTCTGGCCCGGGTGACAAAATCCCCAAGTGCCTGAGCCCCTGAAATCACTTCCCCTCAAGGGCCGGGTGGCTCGTGGGGAGCCCCGCCGCCCCACAGGTGCGAGGACGCTGGGCTCGCGACTTTGGGGCCTGCGGGGCGGCGCGGGAGTGGAGACTCTTATTTTGAAGGGCGGCCCCCGCCCGCCGCCCCCGTGATTTGCACGCTGACCCAATGGAAGGCCCTTGGCCGGCGCTGGGCTTGTTATCAATTACATGTTGTTCCTGCAGCCGCTGTGTCCCCGGGAGGATAAACAGCAGGCCTGGCCGGGCCGGGGAGGGGCGGAGTCCGGAACAGGGCGTCCCTCCCCCTGCACGCAGCCTGCGTCTCTCGCCGTGCCACGTGCTGCTGTGTTTCAGGGCCAGCGCCCGGCGCCCCGCAGCCCCTACTGGGCTCTCAGTGCCTGTGTCCACCCAGGCCGATTAGCCCTGCGTTAGGACCCAGGCGGTCTGCTGCTGCTTCCCTCCCACCCCACCCCACCCCCACCCCCGCCCCAGCCCTTTCACTCAGTCAGCAAAGTTCTGCCAGGTCCTGTTTCAGACTCTGGGGTAACAGAACGGCTTATATTCTGGTGGGGAGGTAGACAGAAAATGAGGTACACAAATACATAACTAAGATAGTTTCAGGCAGTGGCGACTGTGATGTGGGGTGGTGTAACCGAGGGTTGTCAGGGAGGTCCCACGGGGAGTGACTTACGAGCTGAGATCTAAATAAGGTACTCCCTCCTAGAGTGCTGGGGAAGAGGGGTCCACGGAGGGGAAACAGCCAGGGCCCTGGCCTGAGGCCATGAAGCTGGTGAGCTTGGGACACAGCCAGTGCGAGCGGGGCAGGTGGAGCTGAGGTCTGGGGCGGATGGGCAGGGTCCAGGTGCTGGGCTGCTGGGACGAGATTGGGTCCCATTTCCTTGGGAATCTATAAGTTCCCTCCTACCCCGCCCTACTGTACTTATTTATTTCCCCCTCTATTTCTTTGGTATCATTTAATCTGTGAATACCTCAGTTTATATCTCTAAAATGTAAGGCGTCCTTTGAAAAGTATGTAGCAACCACAATACATCACAGTTAAAAATATTAGCTGTAATTCCTTAATATCATGGAATATTCAGTTAGTGATCACATTTCAGGGGAGAGTTTCAAGGGCAGGAACACGGCCCAATCTGCCCCTTACCGCCTCAGTCCTGGTTCCAGGAAGGCTGGAGTCCCCGGATTCCTAAGCATCACAGCAGAGGGGCAGAAAGCCCACATACTCACCCACTGAGGCTAACCCTGAAGGCTAGTGCTGACGGGCATCTGCATGGACGCCTGCCCCTGTCGTGAGTGCTCAGCGTGTGTTAGCTCATTGGTGTTACAGAAACCCAGGAACTAGGCACAGTTGGCAGGATCCCCGTCCAAAACATTGCACAGAGAGGTTGTGCCACCTGCCCAAGGTCACACAGCTGGTAAGTTGCAGAGGCAGGAGCTCAGCGTGGGCGACAGGGGAGAGGGGGGTCTCAGGCTGAGTGTGGACTCTGTTCTTCACATTATCTGGCATTTTCATTCCTTCTCAGCACCCGATTTGGTGAATAGTGTATGTTTTTAAACTCCCAGTTTTAAATCCTTAACTGAATATTTAAAACCAAAGGGCCAAACGTTCTCCTGCAAAATTGCCCTGGGTGCAAACCTGCCACCTTGCCTTAGCTTCCTGGACACGGTCATCAGAGCATGGAACAGATGGGAAAATGAGGTTTGGGAGAGCGAGGCCTTGCCCAAGGTCACAGCTAATGATGACCTGGCTCTGGGAGGTCCCTGCCCCTAGTTGGGCCTGTTGACCGTTGGGCAGTGCTGGGTGCCAGGTGTAGGACTGGTGCTCGAGACAGAGCAAGGGGGTGGGTGCAGACGTGATGCCAGGCAGCAGAGACTCTCTGGCTTTGGGTGCAGAACACCCTTTCCTCAACCTCAGCAAACACCCCGCTTTGGTCACTGGGTGGGGACAAAGGTCCGCAGAGGTGGCCCTGTCACAGCCAGACACTGTTGACTCTCCTTGGACACCGGACCCAGCATGGCCTTCAGCTTCCCCCTCTCCTCTCTGCTGACGTTCTCTGAGCCCCTCCTGGGCACCAGCTGCCTCACCAGGAGCTGGGGACACAGCCGCGACCCGACGGCCCAGCCCGCCCTCATGGAGGCCCTGGTCCAGTAGGGAGACGGGCGTGAGCTGGGCCTTCCTGAGGTGGTGAGTGATCCACGGGGTGCAGCCCAAGGGGTCTTATTTTCCATGCAGCAGGCAGTTGTGAAGTCAAAGGAGATAATAGCTGGGCTCTGGGACCTGGGTGTCTTCTGCTCCCTCGGACTGCCGCCACAGGGCATGGCCCTTGCACCACTAGGAAAGCCCCGGGGAAGGTGCCGGCCCAGTTGAGAGCGTTTTGTGAAGGCCTGTCCCTGCCTTCCCTGATTCACAGAGCAGGCAGCTGAGACAGGAGGGGTCCGAGAACTGGAGGGTGGGGGGCTGCCCCCCTTCAGATGGGGAAACAGCCCATGAGGACGTCTAATTTTTTGCCTCCAACTAGACTTGCCTGATTAAAATACAAACTGCCCAGTTATATTTGCATCTCAGATGAAATAATTATTTAATATAAGCCTGCCCCATCCAACGTTTGGACACGCTTATATTAAAAGTTGTTCAGGGCTTCCCTGGTGGCGCAGTGGTTGGGAGTCCGCCTGCCGATGCAGGGGACACGGCTTCGTGCCCCGGTCCGGGAAGATCCCGAATGCCGCGGAGCGGCTGGGCCCGTGAGCCATGGCCGCTGAGCCTGCGCGTCCGGAGCCTGTGCTCCGCAACGGGAGAGGCCACAGCAGTGAGAGGCCCGCGTACAGCAAAAAAGAAAAAAAGTTGTTCATGCTTTAGAATCTGAGTTTCAGGTTTAACTGGGTGGCCTTTATTTTTATTTGCTTAATCTGGCAACCCTACCCAAGCTGCAGCAACACGGGGTCAGAGGGCAAGTGGCCATTCTCCTACCCCCTCCAGTGATTCTGCAAGAATGAGGCTGAGGTCGGTTGTCCTTGGGATGCCAGTGACTCTGCTCAGCTGGACAGGGGTGCCGCCTGGCTGTTCGGGGTGCCGAGGGCCTCCTCACACGCTCACCCTCTCCATCCCATGCACTCACACCCCGTCACTTGCAGACACACGCATGCTCCTTCCCAGAATTGTTCTGGAAAATCTCTGTGCAACCGCAAGAGCCGGGTTGTGCAATGGGCTTGGAGAGCACTTTTGCAAACAGGTGGTGCAATTTCAGAAAACACTCTTGCAGACAGAGTTCTCCCGTGAGCCAGGATGGATGCAGGACCCAGACGTTCGGCAGTGGGCAGCTGTGGCTGGCCACAGAGTGGGGTCAGGCGCCCCCAAGGTGGCGGGTGAGCGCGCTGCCCTCCTGACTGGGCCTCCTCCTCCCTCTCCGCAGCCGCCCCCGGCACGGCTGGACCAGCAATGGTGGACCACTTGCTTCCAGTGGACGAGACCTTCTCGTCGCTGAAGTGCCCCGTTGGTTATCTGGGTGACAGGCTGGCTGGCGGGCGGGCACACCACATGCTGCCCTCGCCCCTCTCGGAGGACGACAGTGACGCCTCCAGCCTCTGTTCCTGTGCCAGCCCTGACTCGCAAGCCCTTTGCTCCTGCTACAGTGGCGGCCCCGGGGCCGAGAGCCAGGACAGCATCTTGGACTTCCTGCTGTCCCAGGCCACGCTGGGCGGCGGCGGCGGCGGTGGCAGCGCTGGGGCCGACGGCGGCCCCGTGGCCTGGGGGACCTGGCGGAAAGCACCGGCACCTGTGAAGGGGGAGCATTTCTGCTTCCCCGAGTTCCCCGTGGGAGACCCCGGTGGCGTCCCGAGGCCCTTCCAGCCCACCCTGGAGGAGATTGAAGAGTTCCTGGAGGAAAACATGGAGCCAGGGGCGCCGGAGGCCCCGGGAAGCAGCAGCAGGGCCCCGGAGGCCCGCGGCCAGCTCTCCACCGGGCTGCACAGGAGCCACCTCCATGCTGGGGCCAGTGGGAGAGAGCGCTGTGCCCCCGCGCCGGGAGCTGCTGTGGGCGGCAGCCGGAGCCCGGGCGGGGGTCCCGCGCCCGGCGGCCCCATCCCCGTGCTGCTGCAGATCCAGCCGGTGCAGGTGAAGCAGGAATCTGGCGCCGAGCCCGTCTCCCCCGGGCAGGCCGCTGAGAGCCTCAAGGTGGCCCAGCTCCTGGTCAACATCCAGGGGCAAACCTTCACGCTGGTGCCCCAGGCGGTGCCCTCCTCCAGCTTAAACCTGCCCTCCAAGTTCGTGCGCATCGCCCCCGTGCCCATCGCCGCCAAGCCCATCGGGTCGGGACCCCTGGGGCCCGGCTCCGCCGGCCTCCTCATGGGCCAGAAGTTCCCCAAGAACCCGGCGGCAGAACTCATCAAAATGCACAAGTGTACTTTCCCCGGCTGCAGCAAGATGTACACCAAAAGCAGCCACCTCAAGGCCCACCTGCGCCGGCACACAGGGGAGAAGCCCTTCGCCTGCACCTGGCCGGGCTGTGGCTGGAGGTCAGTACGGTGGCGGCAGGCCGGGCGTCTCCATGCTCCTGGGTGCGCTGCCGAGGCCACATTCCCCACCCTTAGATAAGGCCGCTTAGGAAGGGGAGAGAGGGGTAGGCAGGGGCAGGGCCAGAGCCGGCACACCGCCCAGAGGTTTCCTTGTGCCTCCAGATCCCTGGTCTGCAGTCTCACGGTGACCAGGTAAGGCTGCGCCCGTGCTGGAGGAGACGGGCTGGGCCGCGCAGAAGGGCTCTCGTGCTAGTGACGGGGCAGCTCAGAGTAGTGCAGGGCGCTGCGGCCGTGTGCACCGCTCCTCGTGCCTCGGGGTGCCCCCAAGGGTAAGTACCACCCTTACTCCCCTTTACGGCTGAGCAAGCAGAGGCTCAGAGCAGCTAAGTAACTTGCCCAAGGGCACGCTGCTTTGCAGAAGGGACTTGAAGCCAGGGGTCAGATTAGAGAAGTCCCAGCCTGAAAAGGCTGCTTGCCGGACCAGAGGCACCAGCTGTCTTTACAGAGTCCTGGGGCACCTGGGCTGTGCTCCCCACGGGGGACCTGGCGGTGGGTTTGGGAAGCCAGAAAGGCCAAGGGAGAGCGAGGACCAGGCTAGGGGTGCTGCACTGAGAGCGGGAGACTCCTTCCAGGCTCTTGACTCTGTGGCACCGTGGGGGAAACCAGCTCTCCCAAGGGGTAGGGGTGGGGGCTTGCCCAGGGTTCCCCAGCCCATGGGAGGCCGAGCTGGGCGGCACCCCTGTGGCTTTCCCCCAGGCCCCCGGGGGGCCCACCTTCTCGGAGGGCATGTCCACCTTTTCCTGAAGCCCAGGCAGCAGGTCGGGAGCCGACACGCTCAGGGGTGCCCCCGGCGGCGCTCCCCTGTTTAGGACACCCTCCCTGCAGGAAGCTGGCTTGCCCAGGAGGTGCGTGTGCTGCCGACACAGTCCGGGTCTTGGCTGGTGCGGCTTCCGTGTGTGTGTGTGTGTGTGTGTGTGTGTGTGTCTGTCTGTCTGTCTGTCTGTCTGTCTGTCTCTGTGTGTGTGTAACAACAG